TAGAACAACATTTCCGCCTAGAAAAAAAACATGATTTTAAGTCATGCCAAATTTACTATAATGAAAAAATAGAAATAGACAGAAAATATTACTGTTGTGGTACGATCCACCTAATTTACATAGTGGAGTACCGACCATATAAATATGGTTGGTACCGGGAAGACGGGGGAGGAAGAAGAGATTCAATCCAGAGACTCTGCCCGACTGCGATTAAGTTAACCCATTCTACAGGAACGGTCTTCCCAAGAATATACCAAAACTATCTGTGTACACTTTCTTGTTTCAATACATTTTGTTTAAGTACATTTTGTGTTGTATTATTATTATTCCATGCTTTATTCAAGTTTCAACAATTACCATAGAAAAATTTTAGAAGAACATGGAAACAGATGGATTTTACGCCTTAAGATACTTCGTTCATATGGGCTTAACCACAAATTTAACAACATAGATAGAATTAATATATAACATCATCAATCAAGCCCTAACTACATTTCTCACCCACGCAATACAGACATGCTTGCAAAGGTGTTGTGGTCTCACACTTATACACACACTTATAGCACTATATACAGACTTACGCACATCATACAAACTCCTAAAGATAACATACGCTTAACACATACATCCCCCTCCCAGAAACCAATAAAACTGTCAAAATGACCAAAGAGGGAATTCTGTGACTCATGAATCTACCCAGCCTCTTTTTTTTAAAACCAACTTGAAATAGGCCGATCGAAATTAACGATAAAAATGAAATGAAAACAGATTAAGCTAATTTCCTTTATAAACAGTCATTTACAACTATCATTCACTGATACTAACAAGCAGGTTTTTTTTCACCTACTTTTTTCTACATCTAAATGAAATAATAAAACAAAAAATATTAATATAGAACCCAGTGTGTCTGAAAATTTTGATTTTTAATATTTTGTATTGTTCAGATATATATATATATATATATATATATATATATATATATATATATATATATATATTCTTTTTTATAGATACAAATATTTAAGTAAATGCTCTGTTTATAATAAACAGTATTAACAACATTTGCCATTCTGAATGTCCGAGTAATTTTCATAGAAAATATGCGTCCCCCGACAGGAATCGAACCGGTATCTTATACAGAACCGTTATATGGCCTGACGTGCTTAACCGATTTAGCCACAGAGGAGCGTTCGGTTAGCAAGGTCGATGTTATTGTTTTTAAACACAATTCTCCATGATTTTCTCTCATTCATTCATATCTGCTCAATGCGTATCCAAATGTAAACAAATGACGTCATACATTATGAAATGGACAAAGTCCGACAATTATTTAAATATATTTTTATGTTTATACGTTCTTTTTATAGATACAAATATTTAAGTAAATCCTCTGTTTATAATAAACAGTATAAACAACATTTACCAGCCTGAATGTCCGATAAATTACATATATATATATATATATATATATATATATATATATATATATATACGTTATATTGGTTCCTGAAAAATTAATTTCAGTTGAGCTCTCTGGGGACGAGGTTGGTAAACGGTGACTATTTATAGCTATATAGCGAGACTCTTCGCAAACGCGAATTGAGTCACCGTCGGTCACTGGGCGTGTCCACCTTCATCCCTATCGTACGCCGACGGCTTAATGTTTAGAATCTCCGACTGACACCAAGCCAATCGGGTTTCGACCCTAGCTAGAGGCAACCGGATGTCTAGCCGCACTGATGAGCTGTGAAACAGCGAAACAGTCTGTCTCTGGATGACGTTATATATATATATATATATATATATATATATATATATATATATATATATACACACACACACACACACATATATATATATATATATATATATATATATATATATATATATATATATATCTGAACAAAAATGAGTTTCGTTTGAAACTAGTGAATAGATAAAAGAAAACGTCAGAAGTGAGTATCCACAATCGAGTAGAGCGGGAGAAGAAGATATACGGTTGCATTAAAGCATTTCGCTTGTGAAATAATGAGACCTTGTCACTAATATAGTCTTATATAGTGAAGGCTTGGAAACACTGACACTCTCAAGGCATCTTGAAGGCAATAGGGACAGAGGAAAACGACGCATAACATACCTAACGAGCTTGTGTGAATGTTTGGCTGAATGGAGTTTAGTAGTTTTATTTTTTAAGCATTTCACCAAGAGCAACGCGGGAAGCCATTAGCACGCAAGTTGTTATAGAGGATTTGAAGCGAGAGCAGATAGGAGTGATAGAGGAAAGGATGAAGAGAAGGATAGTGGATAGATCAAGGCAACTGGAGATGTCGATTAACATTATATTTGAATAGTTGGAGATTATAGCTATCAGGGAAACAGGAAGAGGGAAGGGAGTTCCACGGGTAAGAGGTGCGAGATATGAAGCTATTAGAGTAGAAGAGGCAGCTACATTTAACACTTTCAACGGTGAAAGGGTGAGAGCAGGATGCCAGCCTCGTAGGGCGCTTGAATTCATGAAGTCTGGGAACCAGCGAATGCAGATCCTCGGAGCAATTGCCATGAAAGTATTTCTAAAAAAAACAGAGAGAGGCGCCGGCGCGTCTGTGAGAGAGTGTCTGTAGACGAGATGCCAGATCAGAGCCAATTATATTGCATATCCTTCTCTGGATCTTATCAAGAACCCTGAGGCAAATAGAAGGGACTCCAGACCATGTATGGCAGCAATACTCCAGCAGGGGCGAATGGTTGATTTGTAGATTTGAAGGATCGATTCCGGGGAGAAAAAAAAAGAACAAAGTTTACTAAGAGCTACAAAGAACTGGAAGTCGTGGAGAACCATAATCCCCCACGCTCTGAATAGAGACGGCCCATAAAAGAAGAAGAATCGATAAACAGCGTTCAATATTTAATGGTGTTTTCTATTGTTTCATATTAACGGCTGTCAGATTTTGGAAAGAATTTGAGGTAAGCTTCTTCTGATACTAATTTTCCCACTCCTATTGTCAAATCACCTTAAGCTCACACAAGTCACGGGGATTCGTCAGATTTGTGAAAGGACGAAGCACATAGAAGGAGAAATGTTTACTTATTTCATCGATTCGAAATATGACCCAACCAAGGCAGAACAAAGTTTGAATGATGGGAAATTGTCGAGAATTAATTCGTCCAGGCTTCCGTCCGACAGTGTGTCGTTTAAAATTCATTTCAGAGTTTGTATTTTTTTTAACCATTTCGTCCCAAAAAAGGCGATAATGCCACAAGGACGGTGGGGGTTGCAAGGCGGGAAATACAAAGAGAATGCATTAATGAGAAGTGATGAAAGGAGAATAAAAGAATAGGATGCCGGATCTGGATATTTCAACAGTATAATGTTGAGGCCAATCTAGTAGTATGTCGTATTCATGGCGGCATGTACCCAGGATGGAAAGCGTATCCGAACAACTGCCATGAAAATATTTGTAGCAAAGACAGAAGGAAGCCACGTCATGGCGGTGGGAAAGTGACTATCTATCTATCTATCTATCTATCTATCTATCTATCTATCTATCTATCTATCTATCCTATGTCTGTTGATTATCTATCTATCTGAAAGCTGGTTTTTCATATCTTGTCATACACATACACACACACAGACACATACATATACATACACATATATATATATATATATATATATATATATATATATATATATATATATATATATATATCCTATGTCTGTTCATTATCTATCTATCCTATATCTGTTCATTATCTATCTATCTATCTATCTATATTTACCATATGTCTCTTCATTATCTATCTATCTGAAATAGAGAAAAAATGCTAAGGGCTACAACAGATAGAAAATTGTGGAGAGTCATGGTCTCCAATAGAGCACATAGAAGAAGAAGAAGAAGAAGAACAAGAACAAGAACAAGAAGAACAAGAACAAGAAGATGAGGATGATTATGAAGAAGAAGAAGGAGAAAAAAAGGGAGAAGAAACAGCAGCAGAAGAAGAAGAAGAAGAAGGAGGAGGAGGAGGAGGATGAAGAAGATGAAGAAGACGAGGAGGAAGGAGGAGGAGGAGGATGAAGAAGAAGACGAGGTGGAAGAAGAAGGAGGAGGAGGAGAATGAAGAAGAAGAAGGAGGAGGAGGAAGAAGAAGAAGAAGATGAGGAGGATTATGAAGAAGAAGAAGAAGAAAAAAGAAGAAGAAAAAGAAGCAGCAGCAGCAGAAGAAGAAGAAGAAGAAAGAAGAAGAAAAAGAAGAAGAAGAAGAAGAAGATCCTCACTAAGTAATATGCGTGGTCCTCTTAATAATACTAAGCTATGTTTTGTAACTAATATATGGTGAGGTCAAAATTTTGATTGAGACAGTCAGGTAATGTTGAAAGTAGGACACCATAAACATCAAAATGTGAATTAAACTGTCAGTTTTATGTATGCGACCAACGCATAAGCAGATCGACAAATATAAAAAGATGAAGATATGAGACAAAGAGATAGAACACGATTATTAACACGACATTGATCAATACAGAGATAGATAATGAAGAAAATGACATAGATAGATAGATAGATAGATAGATAGATAGATAGATAGATAGATAAGAA